AAATTTCTCAGTTTCAAGTTCCAAACGATTTTTGCCTAGTTAGCTTTGATGTAGTAGCCCTTTTTAACAATATACATTTTGAATCAGTTAAACAAGCAATAGAAAGACGTTGGCATATTTTAACTCTTAAAACTAATTTATCATTGACTGTATTCTTGGAGATCATTGAATTTATACTAAATAATAATTTTTTTGTCTTTAACAATAAATATTACAGACAGATTTTTGGTTCTGCCATGGGATCACCTTGCAGTCCTATATTGGCACAACTAGTCATGCACGATTTAATTAATGATTTACTATTTACAAGCCCCATTCTAATTGAATATTTTAAAATTTACGTCGATGATATTATAGCTTGTGTTCCAAAAAACAATACCAAGGATATTTTACAACTTCTAAACTCATTTGATGATCACATTAATTTTACAATAGAAGAACCAAAAAATAATTCTATTAACTTTCTAGACACAACTTTACATTGGGATAACTCAGGTAACATTAAAACGAATTGGTTTCAAAAAGGTACACACGCAAACTCATATTTTAATTATTTTTCACATTCACCTGTATCTCAAAAAATAGGTGTCGTCTTTTCCTTGGTTGACAGTGCCATTAAATTATCTGATGAATCTTTTCACAAACAAAATTTAAAAAAAGTTTCTATTATTTTACAGGCTAACAANACTGCTTGGAGTTCTGGCTCTCACGTATACAACATTACAGATAAGTATGTGTGTTGTGTACTATACGACAGATGATATTTAATAACCCAGTATTTAAAATTTCGGGCGATTTGAAGTGCCTAGCAAAATTATTTATCCATATTATAGACCCAGTTTGGCTAAATAAGATTTTTTTTTCCGCCTTCGATTTCTCAACTAATTACTTTAAATGAAATAATATCTTTTCTCATATATAAGACAACGCTTACTGTACGATTCATGGGGGTACGGGTTCGCCAACTTTGCTCACCTACAGCGTTGCAGTCGTTTTTTTTATCCCCTCCAACCTGATGCACGGAGCAAATACCGAGGACAGGTATCTATGAGGCAGGACCAATACCAATACATACATGTGCAAGAGTTGAAATGGTTAATGTATGTATTAGAGAAGGCGTGACCTATATGAAATGATATTTTAGAATAAAATTTATTTAGTTATCATGCTTTTGTCTGCGGCTAGTGTAAATTACTTTTGATAAATTCTTGAAAAATTGGTAATAAATTTTGTGTATCAAATTGTCTATTCAAGTTATGGATATTTCTACTTATGTGTATCATTTCTGATACCTCACGGAACATTTTTAAAAACATTAATAAAATTAACACAAATAATCAATTAGGTAAAGACAAAATAGAATCGCGTTACAAACCAAATATAGTGTATAAAATTAGTTGTCTAGATTGTCATCGGTACTATATAGGTCAATCAAGTAGAACACTGCAAACACAAGTTGGTAAA